TTAAAGGTACCACAACATGGAAATGTACAGTACTTTATTTTCATAGATGTCTTAAACTATTCCAGTTCATTACTCATTTTAAGTGTTGGGTTTCAGATTCTTTTTTTCCTTTCCTTTAATTTAATGAAGGGTAGCAACTGTATGGATTCCAGCACACACACGCAGTGTGTTATGTATGTGTGTGTACATACACACACACACACACACATATATATATTATATATAGAGAGAGAGAGAGAGAGAGAGAGACTTGCAGCATCAGCTAGGCAGTCTACTGAATATTGATAATTGATTCCATAAATATTAGCTAAGTTTGTTTTTAGCATTAGTGGAACGATAAAAGGGGAAGGTAATCTTACCTTTCACTTAATGAAATGCATGTTTGCATTAAGTTAAGAGGAAGGGGTACAGAAGGCATGGGGGGGAGGGGAGCAGAGGGAGAGACTGTTTATGTGAAACATTTCCTAGTAGCAGCTAGGGGGACTAGCTAGAGATTTAAAATATGGGGTGTAGGTAGTCAGCACATGGTTTGATTATAAAGTGTGTCCTTTAGCCTGACAAAAGTATTAGTGTGCATATTTAGCAATAGCTTACAGAATGAGATTCAAAACATTACACTGCTTCTGAAAAAATGATGTTTCAATAAGCAAGACAAATGAAATAGTAATATCTCTTGAAGAAAGTTGCTACCATAATACCCAAGGAAAATACTTATAGACAAGGAAACACTGTTACAGTCAGTGGCATCATCTACTGAAACATTCCAAATGGCATATTTGCACTTGTCAGTAAAAAGCTATTATTAAGCAATTATATTTGATTTTGGAGATGCCATGCAAAAAATCTATATTTTCAACTCAGAAAGACACTGAATAATAATCTTTTCAACTTAGTTTGGAACTTAGAACTTGTAATCAGTAATACACCTCTTTTTTTAAAGAAGTTCAAGAGTAATAGGAATAAACAAACATCAACTGCAATATAGTAAAGCACAAATATTTCTATGTCTAGAAATAGAATATTAGAAAGAAAATTAATAGGGGTTTTTAAAATGTATTGATTTACCCAATTCTGAATGATGTGCCATAGCACTATAAGGTCATTAGCTGATATCAAATTATTCAACTAAAGTTACTTGTCTTCTGTTGTATTTTCCATAACAACTGTCTTAGCAAAAGGGATGTTTATCATTATTTTCCTTTCCAGCTTTCAGAGCCCATCATGAAGAGAATTGTGGCACTTTGTGACTATCTTTGGGCCTGGGGCCTCCTTTTGAATGCACTGACTGGAAGAAGGTGGGGGAAATATTTTTAAAAATAATAATAAAAAATGGAACTTTTAAGTCTGTTTCAATAGGATAAGAAACACATGTCACATAGATTGCACTACTACTAAGAGCATGTGGGGTGTTACTTTCTACTCAAATATCAGCTAAGTCTCAAAAAGGGAAGAGTGAAATAATGATACAAATTCAATGCATAACACCTTTATTCAAATATTACTAAAGAAATCTTCATCAGAAGTTATTTGAATCCTATTGAAGTTGAACTATCATTTGAATACCTATAAAATAATATTATCATTTATATTCCCAAACAAAGAGGATGAGACTCTATTTTGTATTTCACCTGCGATTTTCATTCACAAAAGGACGAAAAGTGTTATGAAAACATTTTATTTAAGTATTATGCACTACTCCTGATTTTAGTGTAATTAGAGGTAAAACTTCCATCTGCTTCTAGACTGAGAAAAGATTAGGCCCTAACCTGTTTTTTGTTATTCTTATTATTTTTAAACGCCTTTTGCCTGGTCCTGCAATAGCTTACTCATAAAAGTACCCTTTACTTATGAAACTAGCCTCTTTTTGGTAAAGACTGAGTTAGAGGCTGTAGGATCAATTCCCTAAAAAGATCATTGGGTTTGAAAGTCCATGTTGCTTGTATACTAGACTATATATAGAGCACTAATGTTGAAATAATTCATGACCATGTAATTACAAAATCTAAAGTATACTGAAAAGAAAAAGTCTGATCCATATTTACATAAGGGGTCTGGGGAAATAAAAAATATAATGATTTACATTTAAAAATACTAGAATCCTAGCAATAATCTTACCTGATGATTATTATAAATAATGTTGCGGTATCTTTTTTGCTGTCCTAAAAGGTCTATTTTTCATGGGTGTTTCTTCTAAAAATTAATGTGTGTTGCAGAAATAAGATAGGAAAATAGAGGCCCCACTCCTGTTCAACAAACTTATTTAAAATTCTGTCCAAAATGAAAAATGTAAACTCTTCATTAGATAATTACTTTTATGCTATCCATCTAAAGTATTATGCAGAATATGTTTCACTGCACAGATATTGTGTGTGTTCTGAACTGAGAATTAAAATACATTTGACTGCTCTTGAAAAATGATATCAAGTGTCACTAATATAATGACCTGTAGATGGAGTTAGTGTACAGTGTTTTATTATACAGTGGTTTAGTATGAAACTACAATCCTGTACAGTAACTTTTACATTTTTTCTTCAAAATGTATGAATTTTACATAAAACATATGAGTTCACGGAGCCATTTTATCCAGATCAGCTTTATTTTTCTTTAATTTTAGACTTTGATTAATTCCTCATGGCAACTATGATTTTCTAATTAAATAAAATTGCTGAGATGCAGATGAGCTACAGGCTTCTCTTCACAGAAAGAAAAGATCAACATTAGGGCTATTTTACCAAAACTGGTTTCTTGGATTCAGATAATTTGCAGTGGAAAAGGTCATTGTTACTTTGGATTTGTAACCTATTGTATACGTGCCCTTGTGCACACTGTCTATATTATATGGAAATGTTACTTGATTAACACTATTTTTCACATTTGGAAAAATAAGGGAAGAAGAGGTAAAGGTGCTGAAAATTCCATGTGCAAAAATACAATTAATGACATAACTATGTTTTCTTGCATCCTCTCAGACTACTTTGGCAGAAGTCTACCACTCTTTCCCCTCCACTGCCTATTGTAGGCTCATTTATTTCTCACCAGACTTAGCAAAGTGTTCCTGTACCCCACTTCCACGTTAATCTTGATGACCTTCTGCTATCCTTGAGATGTGCATGCACAGCAGTTTGTTTACTGACAAAAGTCTTTATATAGAATTTAATTCAGAGAAGAGTCCAGTTTACAGCTGAATATAATGCACCTGAAAATGTCTTTTCAAATGCACTATATTAAGAAAAAATATGGCGATACACCCAACATAATTGGCTAATTAGGCTAAAAGTAACATAAAACGAAGTAAAAAAAATTCCATCTCTTACTTAAAATATTACTGCCAGATTTAAAAGCAAATTCTCAAACTGGAGATGTTTTTTTTTGATAGATGAAAGAAAACATGCCACATTATTAGAGATATTCATAATTTTTCATTGAGAAGTGCATTTGTTATGTTATTCTATTCAATATGTACAGAACTTTTTATATTTTCATTATACATTCCTACCACTGTATTAAACTGTGCCCTAAATAATTCTTCTTAGTGAAAAAAGTTGGTGAAAACTGGGAAGTAAACTGATAGTTGTTTAAACCCATGGTTTAATTATTTAAAATCGCATTGGAAAACAACATACCAATGTTTTTTTTTTCCCGTTCCACATAATAGGTCAAGTAGATGGATTCCCCAGCAGTATCCCCCTGCCATTTTAAAACTGATAAGACTTTAGGGAGATAATACTGTTAATAGAAAATAATCACTTGATACATTAATTTGTTGGCTGGTTAGAACAAATGGTGTTGGCAGATCATTGTTCTTCGGTAATGTCCATACAGGAAACATGTTGGCCATGAGGGCAAGTTTTCAACAAGATCTCATTCTACAGAAAGTTTATCTGCACCACATTGGTTACCTGCTTCAGTAACAGTATTAGTATTTGGTGTCAACATTTTGTATTGAAAAACAATTTGGGTTTAATACTGGTAATGGCAGACATTTTTAATGGGAGTTTAATGGAGAGAGTAAGTACATCAGGATTTATCATCGTCAGGACAGCCATAGTAAATGATTAAAAGAAATATGTTATAATCTGTATTTGGCAAGGATTTCAGGTGGTTAGGAAAGAGGTTTATTCTGATCACATTTATGCCTTTCTTACATTATCGTAACTTCATTAATTAAAATGATTTTCTTTCTATTTATTTCCTCAATCATCACACCTACAATACTACTCCTGTTTCACACAAGTGTAAGTGGGATCATAATAAGCAAGCCCAAAAAGTTTGATTCTGCTATCCTAATTTATGGAAACTTTCCACTGTCTTCTGTGGGACTTCTCGGTGCATTAGGCCTGTTATATTAGGAGTAGCGGGTAGAAAGGTAGAAGATTTCTATATCAACCTGTCTTGATTACATTTTTAAACATCAGCTATATGAAACTCTATTGGAAAAATAGAAATAAAAGAAAGTCAAAATAAACCTACATAAGAAAGTGATATATGTGTTAATACTAATCATTCAGTTAAATTAGCAGGAAATGCTATGCTCTGGCTCTGATAGGTGACATAACTCCATAAGTATGTCATTAGGATCATACAGGGGTTCAGAAAAATCTGTCTCTGTATCCTTTATATTTTCTTATTATTCTAGCATATACTTTCTGAGTTTTAAATCAACTTAGTCTTAATTTATGTTGCCCTTCTTTGGATCACAGGCAGTTATAAGTTTTAAAATTAAAGTACATTATCATTTCTTGAAAAATACAAATTTTAGTGAGGTAAGCAATAGTGAGGTAAGCAATGAAGGACTGAGGTTCTGCTTACTTTTCATTTATTGAAAACGTATACTGTAAAAAGAAAATGCTTGAGAATAAGAAGCACATAATGCACTACAATTGGGTTTTGTAGAAGAGATTTTGTTTCCCTAAATCAGGATAGGCAAGATAAAGCAGATTTTTTAATTATTATGTTGTAGGGTTACTCATGGATTAATGTTTTATGTTAACTGATTTCAGCTATGGACAAACTTCATTACAAGATGAAATTAAAGACAACACTACCATATTTACCAGAATACTGGACCGTCTGCTAGATGGCTATGATAACCGCCTGAGACCAGGATTGGGAGGTGTGTTATATTGTAACTTTAAATTTTACTCTAATAGAAAGCCTTAGGCCTAAAAACATTACTTTACATCCAATCCTGATTTCTTTTGTTTTATAGATTTATATAATCCTTTTGATATGCTAGACATGCTAGTAAAACATCCGTCCATTTCTCTCTCTCACACACACATATACACATGCCATAAATTAGTGGCAAAATCTGTAATTTGCAGTTCAGTGGGTAATTTGCTTAGTTCACTGAGGGTTCTCAATGACGGATAAAATCATGGCCCCAGATTTGACTGTTTTCAGGGAGCTGTAGATCTTCGAAGGTCTTAGCTACTAAAGAATACCCAAAACATTTTTGTGGATTTTGCTCATAAGAGGATTCTTGCCAAAGACCAGAATCTTCCATTTTTTAGACAGGTAAATGTTCCAGTAAGGTTAACAGGATTTGGGTTAGTTAAGGATATCAGGGTTTAGCTTAACAATCTTTCCATTTCACAGAGGGCTATAAGTCTCTCTATTCAATGACACAAGCCTAAAGCAAGATTGTTAAACTGTTATCCTTTCTCAAAGTTAAAACCCTGCCTGCATCTTTAGCAGGACATAATGTCTTCTTATTTAGAATGAGAATAGGAAACAATATTTTGTCTTGCTCTGCTATACTGCACTGATCCAGCACTTGGTCATATATAATGATGAAGCTGATAAACATACAGATAGAAACCTCTGCTTTGCAATGATTTTGAACAAATGCAATTTATTCTCCTTTGAGAAGCCACAGTTTGTTTTCCATCCTACTTTCTAAGAAACAAACAAACAAAATCCCCCACAGCTACATAATTGAACTTGTTTTCCCTCATATATTAGCTTTCAATAAATTTTAAACAGAAGCCCTTCCTTTTGAGATCAATACATTATAAAATAATTGATATATCATTTCCTAGGCATAAAAAATAAGTTATAAAATATATGTGCATTTTAATAGGGTGTGTTAATTCTTCTGTTTTGAAATAATTTTTAAATAGTGGGCAAAAAATTATATGTGGTTTAATTTTACTGATTTCCTTGATGTTAATATAAACCGCGATTTATAAATTATTTTCTTATTTTAGGAATCATAGAAAACAATGGGTTTTTCTATGTTATGGATTCTGAATGTAATTTTGAATATAATATGCAATAAAAACAAGCAATCCCTTTGTCCACTAGATGTTCTGATATTGTGTCTGCATTCATGTAAATTTCTGGATTCCTTTACCTTAATTAATAAAACTTTAGATTTAAGGCAACTAGTATACTAGGTGACTATACTGTAAAAGGCAATAAATAAGTTAACAATCAAGTTGTACAATCCAACATATATCAATCAGAAATGTGCAAGTACAGGTGCCTGTTTCTCATTTCACATTTTGCACAAATGATGATTTATTAAAAAATATGAGACCCTAATGTGATGATTTGTTATCAACAGGTAGTAAAGGTGTTGGTAGTAAATAGTAACCCTGAAATTAAAATGAATCGGAGTCCATTTTAGGCATTAATTCTGAAATTTTTTATATAAAAATTTTTTCTAGTGAGGAAAGTGGATTGGGAAATGTTCTCAGATTACACATATTGAAGGAGATACATGAACCAAGATATTCACTACAGCTTGGATATTCAGAGTGATAACTTTTGTTTCTCTCTAGTATAGCTCTTTGTGATGTTGTATGGAGTGGAAAAGGGGTGTAGTCTTCATGTCAGTTCTACAAATCATCTTCCTTCCAATGTAGTCAATGAAGATTCGCCATTCATTTCCTTCAGCACAAGAATTTGGGCTCTGTAACCAAGTGTTGACTAAGATGTTCATTTATTAGCATTTTATGATGTGAAGAATCAGTTCTAAAACTACAAATTCAGTTTGCATAATCTACCATACAATTTTGAGATGATGGTATTAATGATGTTTCTTCATGACTATATTGAGTTGATTTTAAATCAGTGCCACAGCAAAACTCACCATCTTCCAGCATGTCACCCTTATCATGGACTCCCCCTGTAAACACTATATGATACACGTGTCTCATATATTGCTTTTTCCCAGGGAAAGTGTTGTTTTAAATAGGTTGATATTTCAGTACTTGGCTTTAAGTCTAGGACTCAATGCCCTCACTGAAGTCTTTCCAAATATATGAAAACTAGAAATAATGCTTGCTCTCGCTCTCTCCTTTCCAATGTTTAGCAGAAATGGCTCAATTAATTTATAGATCTTTTGTTTGTTTATATTCAATTCTTCTTCTCTGAGTGTTTATGGAAATTAGTGTGGAAAGGGCAACACAAGAAAATGAGTTTTCTATTGAGTTTTGAAATAGATTAAATTTACAATAATTTTTATCACTTATAGAGTTAATCTAGAGCCGCCCACTCTGTAATTTCTGTATCTTGCCCTCACAAGCATCCTGCTTTCGGTCAAGAGTAGATTGTGTTACAATGGAGAAGGGAATTCCTCAGATACCCAGTTTCAATCTCCTGGAGGGCCTTAAGCACAGATACCTGAAACTATTCATTAAGGAACCATGGCAAAAAGGTGAGAAATAAAATGATACCGGTGTGAGGGTTACTGTATTTTGCATAACATAAAGATTTTACAGGATCTATGGTATCATTCCTAGGTGTTTATTAAGTCCCATCATATTTTAGATACTTTCTTATTAGATCTTCTTCAGAGGAGCTGTCTTAATGGAATAGCTAAATAGATGGTTTAACATAAAATACAAAAATTATAATTTGTTGTTTAGATAAGCTCAGAAGGACCATCTGTAAAGTTGAGTCTACAGCTTGAACATCTCAACTTTTAAAAAAGATTAATCAGTTAGCATGAATTCAAAACATTGGAGGAGATGGCCAATGACAGATGAGAGTAACTTAATATGCACATCTTAAAAGGGAAAAAACTCCAGCAAAACAAGTAAAGACAGTTTTGTGGATAGGCTGTACCTGATTTTTAAAAATCACTTCTCCCCTTCATACTGCAGCTTTGCACCTGCTGTAAATAATTTGTGGTACAAATAAAGTTATTCAGATGGCTGCCTCCTTTATATGTGGGCACAACATAGGCAAGTATCTAGTGTGCATAACGTCTGTAGAGTCCATTCATAAATGTGGACGTAAAATTATATTGACAGTTATTTGTGTCTGGAAAACTGAACATGAAATAATCTTTAAATGTTTAAAATCAGCCTAGTGGCTGTTTGGAGGGGTGGGGAGGGGGGCAACAATTTACTGGACGTGAGGAAGAGGAGTCCTATAAACAGGGAAGAGGAATGCATTGAAGCTGAAGAGGTGAAAAATCAAGTTAGACACTAGGGAAAAAACAAACAATCAGTTAGGTAATAGAATCATTTGCCAAGGGAAGTAGCTGAGGTCCCATCAGTAAGAGTGTTCAAAAATAGAATAAATGAAATAATTGGTAAACTAAGTGAACAATTAGCTGAATATGAGCCAACAGTATGCCCTTGCTGCAAAGAAGGTTAACAGTATACTGGGCTTCATTAGTAGGAGTGTTTCCAGCTGATTGAGGGAAGAGATAATTTTCCTCTATTCAACACTGGTGATGCTGCATCTGGAGTATTGTGTCCAGTTTTGGGCTCCAACTACAGAAAGGATGTGGACAAATTGGAGAGAGTCCAGCAGAGGGCAATGAAAATGTTTAGAGGCCTGGAGAACATGACTTACAAGGAGAGGCTGAGGAAACTGGGATTATTTAGCCTGGAAAAGAGAAGACTGAGGGGGGATTTAATAGCAGCCTTGAACCACCTGAAAGGGGGCTCCAAAGAGGATGGAGCTACACTGTTCTCAGTGGTGGCAGATGGCAAAATAAGGAGCAATGGTTTCAAGTTTGCAGCAAGGGAAATTTAGCTTAGATATTAGGAAACACTTCCTCTCACAAACTTCCTCACTTTGGAAAAGGGTACCCAGAGACGTTTTGGAATCTCCATCCTTAGAAGTTTTTATGGGTAGACAGCCTTGGCTGGGGTGATCTATTTGGGGATGGTTTTGCTTTGAGCCAGTGGTTGGATTAGTCCCTTGCAACCTTAATTTTCTATGATTCTGTGAATTCAGGTCCTTCAGCTACATGCTTCAGAACAGAACACAGACAGCAAAAGATAGGAGGCAGACCATGGAAAAGAGGTGCTTTCAGTGTCCAACCTCTCTGTCTGACAAATAAATTTAGTGGCTATGTAAGAAGCTGAAGGAGAGAAGGAGACATTTCTTCTGTGGCTAGAAGGATTAGCTTCAATAGATACCATGTTACCAGGAAATCTTATATTTTCCTGGAGAAATTAATGCATTGTTGACCTCTGATATGAGTCTTTTGGACATGGAAGCTGAGGATGTGGGAAAAGGGTAGTTTTGGGCTAGAGAGCTGGCTATGCTAATATTGGAAAGGGCTACTTTGCAGAGGGATTCACACACTACACAGGTTTTCCTGAGGTTTACCTGCAGATTTTTAGGTTGTCCCTTTTCCCCTTTGGAAGGATTTTCCACAAAATAAGATAATAGGTGGAAGAGAACTGATATCCAGTGTGATCATCCCTGTATGTGTTATGAACTTAGTAGCTGTGGCTGAATGAAAGATATATTAGAGCATCCCAGCTGGATTTGCATTATTCCACAATTAGTCTATTCTTCATTATATAGTATAATCATTTTGGTGTTAAAGACACTGGTAAAATCTATTTCTTTTGGATTCTGGCAAGAACCACTGAGATTTAGCTCAGATCTTCTGAAGTTACAAAACATTAGCTGAAAATCATTACTGTAGAAATTATATGCGGTCATGGGCTCTTCAAAGTTCTGTATGACTATCCCAAGAAAAATAATTATATTTACAATGCACTTGGCATCTACAGTGAGGGAGAATAACATGATAATAAATGTGTCTGTAACATTCCTGAAGGGTTTCGTAGCAACATTATCTATAAATATATATAGCGGTGACATGAACCCAAAATAATTGCTTTTAGACTCATATGT